TTTTCCTACGTAGTTTCGAGGCATCCCGTATGTTCTTGATTAGATATTATCAGTCTTTTTGCCTTTGTCCATCTGTTTGGGTTCTCATAGCCGTAATATCGCAAACGTATATGTTAGTAAGAAGATATCAAGAAACGCCTTTTAAAGCATCCTCCTTATATCATATTTTAGTGCACAGCGGAGTGACTTTTAACTTTTGTCATTGGTAATAATTATACATTCCGACAAAGGGGGAGAAGTGAATAGTGGGCAAAGAAAACATAATGAAGTTAACTTGATGTGGTAATGATGTTAGTCTACAATGCTAATGTTGATATATAGTACACTGGTGCGTTTTAATCTATATATAGTGTATTAATGTGAACTAAAGCTAAACAAGGTGAGTGAGTGCATTATATGACTGAAGGAACGAACATTTTTACAGTAGAAAAATATATTTACACATTCACTTTAGATATATATACTTACACATGTACATACATATGTATATACATATACAAATACATTCATGTATATATGTCTGAGTATTAAAATAGTATACGTCCTTATTATGATGATGTGTGAAGGTTGGTGCATATGAAACGTGACTATGTGTTGGTAAACTGCACATAACAAACACGAGTGCAAATGACATCAACTAATATAGTGTAATATAACGGGGGAAGGTGTTGAATGGGTGCAAAGTGGTCAGCGGAAGGAGAAAAGAGGTCGGATTTTTTTTTTTTTTTTTTAAGAACAAAAGCATTTCTAAATGAAAAGCAATATACAGAGTAGTCACTAACATAAATATTTGATCAAACGAAACATGAGAAATGTTTAAAATTTTTCTCTTTTGTCTTTATGGATATGACATAAATTCCAGCTTTCATTGAATAATATTTACTTTCGTTTAATTAAATGAAATGTAATGCTGTCGTCTATTACAGAGTATGTGTGCAGATGATCAAACGACAGCTATGAAGTTAGTCATTCAAACATTTCTTTTTTACAAATCTATCTAAAATCAAATAAAGCCGTAATTGTTTTACATATATAAAAACAGAATTTAATTTTTTTTTGTTTCAAAATTTATATAAAAAAATAAACAAACTAAATTAGACTAAAAAAATTATGCAATTAAATATAATAACATTAAAGAAGGATTCTCACAAAAATCAAAAAATTTTTTTCATTGAGAAAAAGAAATAATTTTTTAAATATTTGCATTTCTATATAATATTTTTTTTTTTTATAAATAACAGACCTGGCTTTGATCGAGACGACTTTGCCGCCAACGGGCATATTTTCCTTGACATAAATGGGACCATAAACGGTATTATCCCAGACTGGTGGGTTATTGGCGCGATCGACCACATCAATTTGCACCTCTACGGTACGTGATAAAGGCGGATAACCTTTGTCTTGAGCCATCGCCTCTAATTTATAGGTCTCGCGCTATATTTTCATTTATTTATTTATTTTTTTTTTTTGTTGTTGTTATATTTATATATATATATATATATGTATATATAAATATATATATTTATTTTTTTGTTTTGGCATATCAAGCATTTACATGATTTTTTGTAACATTCAAAAATTCAAGTTGTTGCAAAAACCATAAATAGTTGGTGTGTTTGGTGATTGTTGTCGGTCGAAAGTCGAGCAAATGAAATTAAAAAATACAAAATTCAAAAACATTTTATTAATCAAAAGGAAAAATCCTTTTCTCTATTATGTTTTCTTTTTTTTTTTTATTTTCTTTTCAATATACGTATTAAACTAAAATTCTCCGTAAGACACAACCATAGGAAACCAAAATAAAATGAACCAACACCAGTTTAGAAAAATAATAAGAACAAAAAAAAAAAAAAAAAAAAAATCTAGAAAAAAATAGTATTTAAAAATTATATATTTTTTTTAAATTTTTTTGAAATTTTCCCAAATGCAGTGCAAATCATTTCTATTCTTATGCTCTATGAAAAAAAAGTCTCGATCCTAGCCTTTTTTTAGTTCATTTAAAACTAGTTAAACCTAATTCTTTTTTGTTCATATAATAATAAATTTAATCATATTATGTTTCATAAGTCCACGGCGCTCTTCTCTTCGTTTGCTTTCTTTCCAAAATATTTTGCCTTTTACTCGATAAAATGATTTTGATTAAGTTTGTTCTGTTATATGCGTAATTACTTTGCAAATTTCCTTTAAAAAGTTTACGCATCTAAGTTTGGTCATTTTGATTTATAATTGCACAGATTAGGCGATTTATTTTTGGACACCTTCGTGATGTACGGAGATGAGCACCTTATAGTCATGCTTTAAACTTAATCTCTCGCTGTTCCCGAGTTCGAAAAACAGCAAATTTCAAAGCTACATGTCAAGAAGTTGCCAATAAAAATAATATTGAATATTAGTTTTTTTATTAAACTTTTTTAAGAGTAGAGTCTTTATGGCCGCGAACGTATGAAACAAGTCATAATACATTGTACAAGTTGATTATTGTTATAATTAATTATTATTTTTATTGTTGTAGTGCAACTTTATTTTATAAAACCAAAACTTCAAGCATTTTACTTGATATTTTATCTTAAATACCTTTAGGGAAATTACTTTCTATCATATTTTTATATATTTATTGCCAAAATATCATCACATTTTCTACCTATCAGATATCCTAGCATAGATACGTACAAAGTGTAAGTGTAGCGTTCATGTTTTTGGACGGAAAAATTATTCATTTAAGTGATTGCTTAACGAAGCCTAGCATAGAATGAAGAAAACCCACCACCAGTTGTTAACGTTTTTCACTTTTCCACCCTTAGCCCAATTTTCGAAAGAATTTTATGAATGAAATTATTATAAGAAAAAATGCAAGAGAAGATATAGAATGCTCAGAAGATCTTATCAGACTGATATTGTTTGTAACCAGACAAGACGGTTTACTATTAAATTCTATTTCAAAACTTCTATTTCTACTCTTAAGGTAATCATAAAAGTGGTAAGGTATTATTCAGCCTTAATTCACTTCGAAAAATGTGTTCATTCGCAGCGAAATTCACTTTTTTTTTCTTCTTTAAATACGAAAAGTGTCTGCAAATGACTCGAAAAATTAGTTATTCAATATTGCCTGTGGATGGCGAAATCGAAAGTTGATGTCGAAATTTCGCATCAAAGCGAATAGCATTTTTTTTATGGGTTTTTTATCTTACGGTTTTCCAGCCTCAATACGGCCCATAAATTTTTGAAAGAGTATGACATTTTTCACAAAACTTTCGCATTAAATAATGCAAAGTCACGTTGTAGCCTTCGGTAGCGTTATCTTCGTCAATCCATCTAGAACTGTCGATCTGAGGTCATTGCATGGCGATCTAATAATAATAATATCCCCCATCATTTGCGCGTATTAAATTTGTGCGAATGTTGCAGCACCCAGAATAACTTGCCCGCCTTTTATTACGGCGATCGTTATAATAAAAGCCTGTCTGTCCGCAAGTCCCGAAAGGTCGCAATTTTTCAAATATTTGGATGAAATTTGGTACATCGACATGTTTTTTTTCAAGGATGAACGTTATTGAAAATTGCTTGGGTCGCACCAATTTCTCGGCCACTTCCCCTATAATGTCTTATTTCGAAAAGTCGTTACGTGAATAGATGTGTTCAGCGAAGTGGTATAAAGTATCTAATAGTGGGCTATGTCCTGCTAATTATTAATTTAATGTAAAAACGAGTTTGACAGTTTCCGAATAATAGAAACATTTTCATTTACATATGAAGTGGGAGAGGGAGGTATCAAGGTTCTGCAGAACGATAAAAGGTATAGTAGTATTTTAAAAGGGGTAATGCGGAAAAGGAAGAAAGGAAAGCCCTTTGAAATATGTTGCATATCTATACAATTCGATATAGATGCAAAAGAATGGCTGCTGTCTTAAAAGCTACTAGTTACTGGTTAGGGAAATGACAGAAAGTCGGATTTCAAATCATTTCAATTAACTAAACCAGTTCTCCTCAAAATAAAGTTTAGTGAAATAAAAAAAAAAAAAAATCAGTTCACTGTAAGAATCACTGAGAAGAATCCGTAAAAAAGACGTAAATTCCACCTTCATCAACACCTCTGGTTCGAACAAGTCCAAAAAATAAAAGGGTCGATCGGAAGTAGATTTTATTTCAAAGCCATCGTGTATTTAAGATAGATTTCTGGAAATTATTAGTTTTCTTCTCTTCTCATTTTTCTTATGCGATTATGTGTGGATTTTTCTTAAAATGTTCCCCTTGCCAATCGATTCATAATGTTTGGATTCCGTAACTGTTGATAGGTTATATTTAGAGGGAAGTAAACAGAGCCGATTTTTGATTAGCATTAGTATTAGCGCATAGTGTGTTGAGGCATTCACAGGCAGGAATATCGATCGTTAGGCATGTATGTATGTATTTACGAAAGATGTTTTGCAAAACTTCAAAAATGATTTATTTTGCGTAAAGATAAAAGTTATACAAATAAACGGCCTACAAAAACTGGTTTAGCCACTTTGACATTGCAAAAATATGCCTTAAAAAAAAAAAAAATAAATTATTTACATTTTGTTGATTTAGCTTAGCTTAGACTAGCACCAGAGTTAAAAGAAGAAAAAAACGCCAATATATAGTAAACGAAAAAACCGCTTTATATTTTCTACATGCTTAGTATGTAAATTTACAGAGGCGCTATTATGAAATAACCCCATATTTTGATGATATGTTCAATGTTCAATGCCTTGCTTAGCATTACACAGCAAATACTTAAAGGTTGCAGTATACGTAAAAGGAAGAAATTCCTAATCAAATACAGGCTTTTTTGTTTACACAAAAGCGCAAATATTTCCCGTTAATTAATTTATGTTAAATCTTACGTTAACTTGAACATTATGTTATTGTTACACACAATTGAGAACCGTTAGTTGGTGTTATGTTAGAGAGAATAGCACGCTTTATGTAATGGGTAAGTAGAGAAGAGACAGGAGATAAACAATACCAACAATACAAACCTTGCCTTAACCGATGTTACAACCGTACCCACAGTGACATTTTCACGTATATGAATTGGGCCATAAATACTCTTATCCCATATGGGTGGCTTATTATTGCGATCGACGACATCTAATTCAACATCAACGTCTGCGTATGATGGCGGTTCACCTCTGTCAGAGGCTCGAACACGTAAACGATAACGGTCACGCTGTTAACGGAGTTATGATTACACATTGTATGTTAAGTTTTCTATATTAATGTACTCTTTATAGTGTTTATAAATGCTATGTTAATTCGCATATATATATACATATATATACACATATATAATTTAACATAACATTTCGTTTTTTTTTAACAGCAATTGTGGTTTGTGTATTTCATTTCGCAACTGAGAAATTGACTTGAATATTATACAAGATTGTTATGGTTTTTGTTAGATGGCGTTATTGTTTACGTTCTAAACAGTATTATTTTTTGTTTGTTAACTCCAAATAAAAATTGAAATGATAACACAACATAAAGGCTAGTTAATAAAATGAAAGTTTTGTAGATAAGAAAATGTTAGAAAATGAAAGAAAATATAAACAAAAAGTTAGAGTAGATAGTAAGTTTTTATCATACGAGGATTAATGAGTTACAATATAAAATTGGGAACAATGAGAGCACTAATGTCCTCCTACCAAAACTTTTTGATTGTGTAGTCGAGATATAAACATTTTCTACAGAAAATTGCGTACTCCTTGCTAAATTCTACTATTAATTAGTTGGAGAAGGAGAACTTCCAGTTATTTCTACCTTTTATAATCGTTTAATACCTTATAAAAATTCGAAAAAAAAGAATAAGCGAAACAATAATGATAGTTGGCGTGAAAGTTTCCCACGAAATTATTTCCGAATTACGTTAAAAGCGAGTACATGAGTTTACACACAAAGGTAACACAAATTCCGAATGCTTTATGAGGCTGTGGATTGGGCCCTCCCGCTAAAGATAAATTTGGGTATGGCATGATTTGATAATTGAATTTTAAAAAGAAATTGATAAGAGAGACTTATCAAAGTAAACAAACAAATTGACAAGAAAGATTTGCCGATTTTAAATTTTGTGTTTTGCCGACGGCTTTTGTTAATTTGGTCCGTTATTCACGTTGTTAAGTTGCGCGTTTAACATAGCTGATTAGCGTTAACATTTAAGTTGTTAAGTTGGGCTTTTAACCATTTATTTATTATAAGCGACTCTGTGCTTTGCCTTTCAACAGGGAATTTAGCGAGGACTTTGTTTAAAAATTATGACG